GATGATTAAATGAGATCATGTTAGTAAAATGCCCTGCTCACTCTGCCAGCATCCCAATAGGCTCTCACAAATAGCCATCATTGTAGTGACGAATTATCCTTTTTTGGACAATTAGATTTTATACAACTTCACTTCAGAAAATTACATGAATGACTAACTTTTGGCACAACGGTCTTCACAAATCCAGACTTTTTCTGAGTTTGGCTAACCATAATATCAACCACGATACACCCCTAAGAAGACTGGGATGAGAAATAGCCTAAGTTCTATTTCTGGAACCTTTTACTAATGACAATGTCCTGAAAATTCAATCTGTTTCTACCAAGAGTAATAGGCCCAAGAATGCTGAAGTAAGAGATGTCTATTGGTACTGAGATACTAGGACTTGGTCAGGTAATTAATAGGCTAAATGCACAGTCCCCAAACATAACCCCTGAGTCCCTTGCATATTGACAACTTGTAGTTCACAAAAAGGATATTTTCAGTTTTGGGAACTGTAAAAAAAAAAAAGTTTGGAGTCAGACAGACATGAGTTTCATGCCTGACTTTATGACTTATCAATATCTTCTTTAGTTTATACTCTTGAAAAACCTCAGAAAACTTGAAGGGGTATGGAGTAGGCTAAAACAGATAGCTTTGCATAGGACCAATCAATACATCATGGGTTCTCCGTAAATAAAACAAACGATAGTTTATTCTCTTGGAAATGATGTGAAAGAGACTGACTAGATTTAATGAGAAGAAAGAAAGAAAGGCCACACAAGGAGAAAAGGGTTGAACTAGAAAATGGTCTGGCTGCCCAAATTGGGAAGATCATTTACTTCTACTGCATCTCAGTTTCCACATCTGTGTACTGGGGAGCACTGCTTTTCATCCTGCTTGCCCAGAAGGATTAACTTTTTGAAAGAAAAAAACACATTAGTGACTATGGAAGAATTTTAAAACCAGATGTAAATTTTTGTTTCAGCCACAGTGGGTTAGACAAGGCTCTAGGCAAGAACAATGAAAACAAGCTAAATAAAATATTTTTAAAAATCTACTTGAAACAGAGAATGAGTATGTTTTGTAATGATGAGTATGCTAACTATCCTGATTTGATCATTACATATGGCACAAAAAACTGAAAGTCAACTCTGTATCTTATAGATATGTATAATCAATTATGTTTCAATAAAAAAAATCTATTTGAAGACATTAGAGACTTACTAAGGAAGAGGAGGCTTCAGGAATCAAGATCTAGGAGTGAAGAAAAAAACCAGCAAAGCAAACTTGCCATCTGATGCCTCTGCTTTCCCTGTGAAGGCATTTACAGATTTGAAAGCAACAGATGACAGGCTGAGAAACTGGACAAAGTTCCTGGCCGTCTTACAGAGCTGAGGGGACAGAAGCTGGCATTCAGGGTTTGTCAAAGAAAGAGGACCCTGGTAAAATCCCCTGGCTTAAAGTTGGGGTTCCTAAAGAGCAAAGCCCTATGAATAAGATGTGGCAAGAAATAGACCAGCCCTCAGTAAAGCCAGCTTTGAATCAGCCCAGTACCTAATTATATTAAGGCGATCTGTTTCTTACCTTAGATGCCTGACAGAAGAAAAGAAAATATGCTCTTTAGAAGGTAACAGCATTCAAACATTCAAATTATAAAATCTTCCATACATAATGTTTGGCATTGAAACAGACATAATCAGGCAAGTAAAACACAAGAAGAAAACAGAAAAAAGAAGAAAAAAAATCACAAGATATTCAGATACTGCAGTTGTCAAACAAAAATCAGAAAAAAAATACCTTTTATTTAATTATAAGACTTAAACGATACTGCTAGATTATGTGTCTTAAAATATAATGATTTTCTAGAAATAAATATAAACCTTAAAAATTTACTCTTAAAGCAAACAACCTCATACCTTGTCCACTTAAAAAGTTCAATGAAAATGATGTTGAATTTTTAAGAGTTGTGAACAGACTGAAAAAGATTTAAAAGAAAACTTCTGGAGATTTCATCTTCCCATGATGTTATAATTGTGTAGATTTATTTATTTTTTGGATTTTCTTGGACACACAAAAAAATCACTGATTTTATCCCAAAATTTCTAATAAGTTATCCTATGTAATTCCCTATTTAAACTCTATAGATTCCACTTGGATTTTGACTGTTTAATTTTTTATAAGCATCATAAAAAATTTGCTAATAAAATACTAACATTTTGACTATAATAGACTAGCATAATTATTTCTTCATGCTCCATTATTTCATTCATTAGGTGCTATTAGAGTCATCATTAGACCAAGAATGAATTCTTATCATCACAATTAAATAGATTTGGTTTTGACCTAAGTACAGGAAAAAGAGACCATATTATGACTTTTTAACTCTCAAGAAAGAAAACAATGCATTGGATAATAATGCAAGATATATTTTCAGCTTGATACAATTTAAAGATAACTATAGAATTAAGTAACTTAATGGAGACCAAGTTCATCTCAGCTATGTCAATGATGTGGATAACAACATTCAAGGGGGAAAAAAATCTATCTTTCAAAACCACTAAGACTTTACAGAGTGGTTGAGTGCTTTACTGGCTGTCTGCCATTCTTTAGATGTCTTCTGTTAAATCTGAATATTTCATCCATTTATCTCTGCAAATGAAATTTATCAATAGCATTTAGTTTTTCATTTTTATCTAGAGCTGGATTAAATTCCATCCCAAATTCTTTCATTGAAGAAAGGTTTGGAGGAAGGGAAGAAGCAACTGGATTCCAAATTAATTCAAACAGAGGTAGGTAATTAGTTAATGCTGTTGGTAGATGATGGCTTCAGTGTGATATTCTTGCTCTGCAATTATTTACAATGAAAGAACATGAGATTTCTTTCTGATAGACCATAATTGGCAGAGAAATATGCAAGGTCTCCTTAGAGAGACCTCATAACTCCAAAACCAGCAGGATCTGACTATGAATTGACTCTCCTTCATATCTAAAGAAGGAATATGTTCATAAAAAAGTGTAAGCTAAAGAGATGTTGAAAAGGAGGCATTATAAGCAAATTTTGGCAACCGCCAAATAAATAAGCTAGTCCAGAGGAACCTCATCTAAGCACATGGGAACATGATGCTTTTAAAACAAACATGATGTTTTAGTGGATTAGAGTTGTCTAAGCTTTCTTAACAGCATAGAACAGCTTCAAAGTTGTTCTGAGATTCAGAGAAGTTAAGTAAATTACTCTAGGTTAGTTACTCATCCTTGAGTGGTAGAGACAGGAATTCAGAACTGTGAGTCTGGCTTTCAAATAAACAACTGCCACCAGAAGTGTCTGTCTTTAGGCTACTGTCACTCACTTCCTTCAGTTGACTCATTCTTAAAATATAAAAACAGTCAAAATGTTACAATTTTTAAAGTCTAGTAATTTGTTTAATCTGTTCTAGGAAAGTTTCAACATATACATGAATAAAATTATACATCTGTTAAAATTACATATTTAGTCCAATCGAGCTGGGTTATTTTGCTCCTTCCCACCTAAAGACCCAAACCTAAACTGGGTAACATTAAAAACAGACCGAACCTTTGAAAAACAGTATGATTACTTCTGGAAAGCTCTTGAAGAGGCAGCAAATTCAACTGGATGGAGTAGAAGTAGGAAGGAAAGTGTCTGAGTTCGTTTGGGCTGCTATAACAAAATACCATAAACTGCGTGGATTATAAACAACAAATATTTATTTTTCACAGTTCTGATGACTGAGAAAAGTCCAAGATCAAGCCACTAGCAGATTTGGTGTCTGGTGAGGACCCACTTCCTCATAGAGGGCACCTTCTGGCTCACCTGGTGGAAGGGGGAAGGCAGCTCTGTGGGGCCTTTTTTTATGAGGGCATTAATTCCACCCTAATCGGCTCCCTAATCACCTCACAAAGGCCCCACCTTATGGGTTAGGATTTCAAGATATGTATCAGAGTGGACACAAACATTCATACCATAGCAGAAGGGGAGGAATGTTCTTCTCTCAACATATTCAAAATCATTCCTTTTTAGATATATTTCTCCTCGAAGTCCATTCATTGTAGCAGTCGCTCATTTATTCATTCATTCAACAAATATTATTGGAGCATTTTCTATGATCCAGGCTCTCAGTGTTTCCCTCAGTCCCTCTTCTATCTTCCACCTATACTGCAGTCCACTTCTCTGTTACCCCATTCTTTAACCAAGACCTTTCCATCAGTGCACAGCTGCTTATTATTTCTAACATATAACTACTTTGTCTGCCTTCTTCCAATTCCATTTTATTTTTTTATTACCTGATGAATGCAGCAAAAGGCTACCAAGAGCCCATCAGGTCAAACATGGGATTCTCCTGAGAAGGTGGGGAAGGTGGAAAAACTATGGTGACTTAAAGCTTGTATGTCTTGTACAAAGAGTTGCCTGTATCAGGCTCTGCCAAGTTTCTAGGCATAATCTACCTCCCCTCATTTCAAACCTCTGCCTTGAGTAATAAACTTATGAACAGACAACAAAAATTGGCAATCACTAGCTATAATAGAACATGTTTTACTCTACAACATAAAACTCTTTACACAGACTACTAAAGAAAGTAGGTTTAAAAATAATTATTTGAAGAGTATTGATTTTTATGATATTTTGGATAATAGAAGACACTGTTATAGTACATGTTAAACTTTCTATAATTTTCATGAAATAGTCTCTTAAGAAATATTCTCATAAGTCTTACTATTTAGCTTAAATTTAATATAATTTTAGAAATTCTATTTTTAATTGGGGAGGGAAATGTTTGCAGGGGTAAATAATATTTCTCTTTTCATTCACTAAGCATCCTAAGTTTTCATCTACTTATATCTTATTGAATACTAACCACCTTCCTTCAACATCCTTCTTAAGATTTATTTTAGTAGAATTTATCATCTGTTAGGATAAAAATTTCAGAAGAAATTCCCCATAGATTATTTTTTAGTGGCCAACAGCAAACCTTTCTGTGGTTAAATTTTCAGGACCAACTCACCTATCAAACAGTTCTCCTCCTGTGACGAGTTCTAGGACCAGACTGATTTCAGTGGGAGTTTCAAATATTTCTTTAAGTTTTATCTGGGGAAAGATATAAAAAAAGAATATCACAAATACCTTATTTTCATCTTTCTCAGAAATAGCTGAAACTATGGCTAAAATGACACTCTCTGCAATAGTAAGATGTTGGGTCATTGTTAATAAAGGTCCCTCATTCTAGCATCAAGAAGCTATCTGTCTCTTTCTTTCTAGGTTGTTGATTTTATCAGTAGCCTCATTTTTTCAAAGGTCCTATAAAGTTTTGACATTTTTTGTTGTGACAGTTGAAACATACATGCCTTAAAAACATCTCCCAAATTTTGCCATAACAGCCCAACTTCTTAATTTTCTAGAATCAACAACAAAAACAAAAACAAAAAAACTTCCTAAATTATTTGGGGCATGATTATTATTAGCAATGCAAAATGCCTATTTCCCCTGGGAATGAGAAACTTGGAATAAAGATTCTGAGGCAGGGAAGGACCAGGTAAAAGTCTGTCTGTATCTAAAGGATATCATTAAACAGCTAAAAAGGGGTCTTGGAAAAGTGGCAGTGGCAGTGATTTGAATGACCATAGAACAGTTTTCATCACATTCAAATAATCCAACCAATTTTGGATATTTTTCTCCATACCTCTGAGAATATAGTGGCCAGAACCTGATTCACATTTTATGGAAATTTCATGTAGACTTCTCTTTGGAAAGAAAAGAGATGAATAATTTAAAGTGGTGATAAAATGTGGCAAATTTTATTAATTGCTTACCCAAAGAACTTTTCATTCTACTTCATCGCAAACACAGCCCTGAAATATCAGGGAAGCAAGGTGCTCAGCCCCAAACTGTGGATCATGAATGGTCTAAGCCATATCCCTGTCCCGTAACGTCCCTGCCGTGCAGTTAAGGGTGATCTTGTGACGAGCTCTGGCTAATAACATTTGAAGGGAATTCTGGCACAGCAGTTTCTGGGAAAGCTTTTACTCCTCTCATCAGACTCTGCTGCTGAGGCCCTTCCATCATCTTCCTGGTGAATGTACACCCTATGACTCGTGCAAATTGTAGTCATTTTAGGACCATGAGGGTGAAAATCAATGCACCAAGGACAGGAGAACCAGTGATGGAAGGTATCTGGTCCTGGATGGCATCACTGAGGAGCTGAACCAGCGCTAGAAACTGCCTGCCTTCTGTTTCTTGTAACAGAAGAAAAATATTTGTTTAGACCAATGCCTTGGGTTGAATGTCTCTCCAAAACTTAATCCCCACTGTAACTGCTGAGGGTGGGAAATCCTGTTATGGTGGTTGAAAGGTGGGGCACTGGAGAGGTGATTGGATTCTGAGGACAATGCCGTAGTGAATGGATTAAAAATGGTGGTCATGGGCATGGTTCTGAGGGCTTTAAAAGAAGAGTGAATGAGGAGGTTACTCTCTTGCTCTCTCTGCTCTGCCATTTTAGCACTACGATACCCTGCTGTAACTGTCACCACCAGGAAGACCTATAACAGCTGTGTTCCCTGGACTTTGGACTTCCCAGCCTCAGAAACTGTACGTAATAAATTTCATTTTCTTATAAATCACCCAGTTTCAGATATTTTGTTATAAGCAACAGAAATGAACTAATAAAACCACCATACTCAAATTTGCTGTTATTTATAGCTGAATACATCCCTAACTCATATATTAAGTTTTAGGCACTTTGCCTTTAGCCTAAGCATTGCAGGTCATTCCCGCTAGACAGCACAACTTTCCCAAAGAAATGGGTGAAATATTTTCTTTCAGTGCATAGCTTAATTCATAGCAACAAGCTATGGCCTGGGGAGTGATTTTGTTCTTTTTCACTTCATTGGCTCAAGAAAGCTTTTCACGAGACCTTCCCCTCAAAGGCTTTGATCTGGACATAGCCTCAAGCAGAGCTTCTGAGGACATTTCATTTTCCCCATTCAAGTGCATCATTTACTTGCATCTTCACATTGTTTCTGAAGCTGATACTCTCTCAGAGGAGACTGAAATGACTTTGGAAAGCAATGCATTTTCTTCACAGGCATTTCCAGCAATGGCATATTAATAAGACAGACACACAAAAGAAGGAAAAAGCCAGTGTTTTATTAGAGCAAAACAAAAGTCTACAACTTTAATCCTTTTATGCATGAAAATGAAGGTGATATATGTTGCTAATCTGTCCACTTTTGAACTTTTTCAGGGGTATTATTTATAAGATTTATTTCCACCAAAGAATTAAAAATGTGATCAGATGGGAACAAGACCCTAGCCACGGTGGCTCCCAGTGGTGGGAGAACCCCCTTCTCATGATCAGCAGGGACAGTGAAGAACTAAGATACCATCCGACAGCTTCGGACATTATTTGAAATAGTAGGTAAAAACCACTTACAATGTTGGGGTGTGAGAGGCGAAGAAGAACTCCTATCTCAGTTCTTACGATTTTTTTGTCCACCTAAAAGGCAAAATAAAAGATATAAACTGAAAGAAACTTCCACCTTAGCAATATCTTTATTGTAGCAGAAAATTAGAAACAGCAATAACTATCTGGGTGAATCAGGTAACTGGCAGAGGCTAATTCCTAAGCTTTTTTCTTGTGTCCCTTTCCTCCCTTTTCTTTTCAGCTGCATGTCCTTCCTCTCAGATTCAGACATAATGTAGAGCCAATAACCAATATAGATCACAAATCGTCATACCCCTTGCATGACGTCTTCCCTTCTTCCCTACAAAAAGTCATCGTTATCACTATTACCACTAAGGCAAAAGTTCATCTCAACCTATCTTCTTTCTTCTCTTCCTTTCTTTTATGGAAGTCTCTGTCTCAACCCCAATGAAGATGCCAATCACTCCTCACACAGAGGTGGCACATCACCCATCCTAACCAGTCAGGGCACCCTGTTTCCTGGCCATAGTGATAGAGTCAGGAATATCCACCAGACCCAAGTCATCCCACTCAGGATCCTCTCCAGTAATTTTGCTCAAACAATTAAAAAAAAGTAGTCACTTTTTCTCTGAAAGTATGAGAGCAAAAGAGGATAGACTCTGCTGCTACCAGTGATCATATTTGATACCATATGGAGAACACTTTACCGAAAACGAAGCCAACACAGGAAAAAACATTGCTGAGATATGAAGAAAGAGTACTGTTAATATAATTTAATACTCTGGATTCAGTTATGCATGAGCTAGTTTGCCCTTTAAACTTTCTAATTATATGATCTACTAAAAAAAATTTTTTTCCTGCTTAAGTTATTCAGAGTCAGTCTCTGTTGCTCACTATAGAAGAACCATAGTTGGTTGACCAGTTGATCTCCATGTTTGGGACAATGGTCATTTAGTTTAAGTCATATATTTTAAGAACAAATTAGAGATGCTCTAATTTTAAAATCACACTATTGTTAATACAAAATGAAGAATGACTTGCTAGAGTTAGCAATGTGTACATGGAGATGGTGTGATATGTGGGCTGCTGAGGTCGGTCAGTGATGCTGGGAGCCCAATCCCTGGGATAAAGACATTGTTTTCTAGGCGGTAGTGAAGTGATAGGATGAGACTCTAAAATGAAGAATGACTTGCTAGAGTTAGCAATGTGTACATGGAGATGGTGTGATATGTGGGCTACTGAGGTCGGTCAGTGATGCTGGCAGCCCAATCCCTGGGATAAAGACATTGTTTTCTAGGCGGTAGTGAAGTGATAGGATGAGACTCTAGAAAAGTTTTTTAATTCAGTGAAAGCATTATAAATTTCATAAAATATTGCTATTGAGTAAGAGTCACTCCACTTGTACCAAGTGAGAGATTTTTTAAAAAGACAGGCATTGCTAGAACATTCACATGACATACACAGATCTCTTTTTCAATGTCAGGCATATGTGACGTTCTCTATCCCTTTTTCAATTGCAAACCTGAGTGAGGCCAGATGTTTTCATCTACTTCAAACAAAACAACAGACCACAACAAATTGAATGCAGAAATAGTGAGAATCAAGCTGTCTTTTATCACAACAGATAGTAAAGAGATTTGCAAAATAATGCCACTCTTCTCACTAAATATTTTTTACTTTGGAAAGTACAGTTATTTTCATTAAAAATGCATTTTTGTTAAAATGTAACGGGCTTATTATTGTCATTTTAAAAATTAATAAATATTCTTAATGCTTCTCAGTTTTAATCTCTAATACAGTAAATATGTATAGTTATTTGATGTTCTCAATAATTTTACAAGTATAAAGGGCTTTTGAAAGCCAAAAAATTTGAGAACCACTACTACAGAAAATTTAACATTATACATTTGAAAACAGAAGGAAAGAAAAGAAAAAAATGCTAGTAATAGTAACAATTTTAATGAAAGAAAAATGCTCCCTTGAATGCTGGAGCCCAGAGTGAATAATGTGCAGGTCATGGCATAAGTGGAGGCTGAGACAGTGAAGCAAATAAGAATCTTAGAAAAAGGAACTTAGAGAAAAGGGGGGATAAAGCACCACCAATCCAAAGAGGGTAAACTGAGCAACAAAACCTGGACTACAAGTCAAAGTGATGACGACCAAGCAAACCAGAAGAGGGTGAAGTTGAAAGGGAGAAGTGGACAAAGAGGGAATGGACAGATAAGTGGCTGAGAAACCAAGTACAAGACCACAGTGAGGCCAGAAAATCCTCCACAGAGGGAAAATCTAAGGGTCATTTGTTGTGTTTTTGAAAAGAAGATTCAGAACTTCTGAGGCAGCCATACTTTCAAGGACAGTTATCTCCAAAGGTGTCAGGTCTTGGAGGTCATGCAGGTGTGGGTCTTGACAGCCATCTCACCTCAACCTTCCCAATATTCCTCTTGTTCCAGAAGTTAGTGTTTTCCTCCCACTTTTTTTTTTTGATTGGTAAAGGGATCGCAACCCTCAGCATCAACCTTCCCAATATTCCTCTTGTTCCAGAAGTTAGTGTTTTCCTCCCACTTTTTTTTTTTTTGATTGGTAAAGGGATCGCAACCCTCGGCACCACGCTCAGCCAGTGAGCACACCGGCCATCCCTATATAGGATCCGAACCTGCAGCCTTGGCGCTACCAGCGCCACACTCTCCCGAGTGAGCCACAGGGCCGGCCCTTCGTCCCACTTCTGAATTGCCCTTCCAAACTCCTGGGGAGCCCTGTAGAGAGTCTGAGCTCTCACCTTGCCACTCAGAATGAGTAATATTTTCCTAGAAAATAACTACCTAGCAAGCCACAAGTCAGTGGGCAGCAGTCTGAACAGTCATTATTGCCACTTGAAATTAGCTTCCAAGCGCTACCATAATTAGCATCTTTAGAAGCATCAATAGGCAGATTTAACAAACCAACATGACTACAATATTGAAACCCCTAAGACATACCCTCAGTATCTACAAAATACCTTGAAGAATGGCAGTTTTTCAATACTAATAATTAGCAATTATAAAACTATAAATCCTAACTTAGGGTATGTATTTCAGCCCAGTTCTTCAGAAAACAGATGTGAGGCAATGATTAACATTCTGGTGTTTTATCTGGAAGGAGCAAACCCAAGGCAGAGAGCGTGAGGAGAAAGGGGAGTACAGAAAGGTAGGGGAGGCACGATGCAGTCAGCACACTGGCTACTGCGTCACAATGAGCTGTCGAGACTCCCAACAGGTTGTACAGGCAGCTGCATCTGATTGGCACCCGGTACTTCTCCAGTGGGCTGCACCAGGCCACCACGACTTGAAGAGGCCCATGGGAAGGAGGAAGGAGGGGGTATTTATCAGCCCAAGCACCTCCTTCTCCTATTTCCAGTTGGTGAAATTTGGCCCCCTGGGTTAACTTTTCCATAGTTCTAGGATGCACAGTCTCTCTGGCAGTCACTTGAGATGCCATATCCTTCCTCAGAAGATGTCATATCTCATTCAAATCCAAAAGTGGCTGGAAGAGCCAGAAGTTTCAGGTGTGTAGCTCGTTGGTCTAGCTGCATGAAGTGGCCAAAGGGCATTTCGGCTCCCCCTGGCCTGGGTGGCAGGTGGGCAGAAAGAACCTGAGGAGGCCCATAAGAATTTTGTCCAATCACAGTGCATTCTGGAGTTTTTTTCTGTCACTAGGTAAACTAGATTGACAGCAGTGGAATCACAGTCCTGCTTCTCTAATTTATGGTGTTTTATTGCTGATAAGAAAGAGGTTTGTTTCCCATTTACATTCCTTCTGTCCTTGTGGCAATATGAAATGGATAATCATCAAATGGCTTGGGCACATGGGATTTTTCTGTAAAGCCTTGTTTTAGCTCCTCTAGTTGAACTACTTTAAGTATTCAAAGAAATATTTCCTTATGTTCTTATGAATTATTCTGGAAACAGCCAATATTTCTGGCCATTGACATTCTTTCAATATAAAACATACTTTTTTGAAGATTATACACAGGAAAAAATTAATAAACAATTTAATAAAAGCAATTATATAGATTTGTACAGAATCAAAACTCCATGAAATTCAAGATTCCTTAATATTGAAAGAGATTATACACAGGAAAAAATTAATAAACAATTTAATAAAAGCAATTATATAGATTTGTACAGATTCAAAACTCCATGGAATTCAAGATTCCTTAATATTGAAAGAAATCCCAGTTTTGCTGTCTGCCCCCAGCAGAGGGTAGAAAGAAGTGGACAAGAGGTGTATTTCTAGAGTGATGCGGGGTCGGAACAGAGTTGATCAAATATGGACCTTCATTAAGATACTTTAGAAAATATATTCCTGTGCTGGGGTCGAGATGGTTTATGAGGAAAAGAAGGAAAGAAGGATTAAAAGAAAGCAATAAGAACTTAAAATTTAAAAAAAGTTTGTGCATTGTGGGAATGATTATAGAGATAGAGGTGGTGAATGAACTGTAAAAAAGGAGGCAGATACAACACCAGATTTCTGTTGGGCCTGAGCCACGTGGCGTCCTAGACCAAACTCCAGAACTTGAAATACAGTCATGCACTGCATAATGATGTTTCAGTCAAATACTGTATATATGATGATGGTGTTATAACTATATAAGTATAATTATTTTTACTGTACTTTATCTATGTTTAGGTATGTTTCGATACACAAATACCACTGTGCTACAATTGCCTACAGTATTCAGTACAGTAACATGCTGTGCAGTTTCTAGCCTAGGAGCCATAGGCTATACCATACAGCCTAGGTGTGCAGTAGGCTGTACTGTCTTGGTTTGTGTAAGTACACTCTATGATGTTCTTACGACAAAATTGCCTCATGATGCATTTCTCAGAACGTATCCCCGTTGTTGAGTGATGCATGACTGTACTCTTGGCAAAGTGGGATGACCTTTACAACTAAAGACTCCTGCTCTTCTTGTTCTATGACTCAGTCAAGTACAGCAGTATTTCCACATAAAATGCTCAGCCTCATCTCATTTTCCAGGGATTGAGATCTTGAGATGATAAATCTTGTATTGTCACTTTCTTCTTTCTCTGGCT